AAAAAATCCCAAAAGTAGACACAGTTCCAAACCCAATATTCTTGTTCCACAGGGTTGAATGCGTTTTGATTCATGTTCAAAATAGTGAACGTCCGACTGACTTATACAGTCAACGAACAAAGGCGCGCACCGTGAGCGCAAAAATTCTAATCTATGTTGATGAGGGCAAGGATGTTTATATAGCTCCAGTTTTCGCCCCAACTACCAAGAAAGAAGGAGCGATTGTGTGCAGATATGGGCAGCTAACGAAACAATGGGTCGCAACAGTCCACCTTTAGCGTCGCCAGGACGACAGGAGAGTTATTCAGAGACAGTTCTTAGGTTCTGTCCAAATAATAAGTTTCAAGTTTTGAAGTAACACATAGAGAGAGTGTTACACTAGCCGTCAGCTAGCATAATTTTGATGGTACATACAAACGGCATGCGAAATTCCCATGAAGGCTAAAAGGTTTGCATGCAACGAAAGGGGGGGGGGTTGGTAAGTAAACTTATGGCTTATCCACTGTTTGGAGAAAAGCATAGCTCGGGTCAGAAAGAAATGAGTTTTGGGTAGCACACAGAATAAGGAACGTCCCTAATACAAATGGACTTATGTTAAATTCCAGGGGAATCAGGGTTAGGATTAAGTTAGGGGTTAGAGTTAGGGGTAAGACACGGAAATAGCTCCCGTCTTGGGATTTAGCGCAAGACCAACTGTGTTCGGGGGATTCCTATTTCTACGTCATACCGGGTTTTGAAGTGAGTCTAGTCAGAATCATTGCATCCAAGTCACGGGGTCGCACTCCGTCGGCTGCCATAAGAAATATGGAGCGTCATGTAAGAAGCCATTCACCGATCTGGACGGATTGTTTGAAAGTTAGAGTCTGAACGTGACTTTTTAACTTTAAGAATGGAAAGGAAATGGCAAGAAATTTTCTATCTGGAAAAACCTGATTTTCAATTTCGGAATACACGAAAGCATAAAGAAAAATAGGCCCAAAATGGGAGGCACATTAAACATGCATCATTAATGCTATGAAAAAAGGACCGCCGATCCCATAAAGTAATAATATATGGATAAAAATTAAGTTAAGTTCATGGTAGCTAAACATATCCCTTCGAATCTATCTAGTCGAACACAATTGCACCCTTAGCAAGGGCAAACTCCTGACATCTTATTTGACAAAAGTGAAAGGTATAGACAGCAAAACCTAATATAATATATAAATATAACAAAGGGGCGTAGAAGCAGCTCACATTGTTTGGCCTGGTGCCGTTTTGCCATTCGCGCTGATATATGGCCGATGGATTTGTAGTGTGGCAGCGGCTTGTGTCTGTAAGCGTTCTATTTGCTAATAATTCTTGGGCGGTCTACAGGAAAAAAGTAAAACACCTCACATTCGGCAGCATACTGGGCAAAATGTCCAATATATCGCGTCAAACTATTCCGTCCACAAACGTTAATCGAACAGGGTTTATAAAAATTCTGACATACCGGTTACTTATCAGGAAGCATATATGGGCAGAAAGATGAAATGAAATGCATAAAACGGGCGTAAGCAGGGTAAAGAAAATTGTCGATTTGTCTGAGCAAAGGGTAAGACATAAAACCATATTCACTAGTATATAAACTCACCAAATACAAGCCGCATCGAAATATTCAAACGGTTCTACTATTTTATGCTAGAATTCGACGAGGAACGCAGAATATTGAGGTAGTGGATATTGAGATATAACAATGTGAAGCGTGGATGCACGATTACTATTGCGTACATAAAATTATGGGTGTTTCGAGTGGACTCATTCTGCCAAAGGTTTCTCATTCAAACTATGTCATAATACTAGCAACTGCCTGTAAGTGAGTCAAGGAAATTACTTCTACTACAAATGCCCATACGAATTGTATAACTTGAACTAGCCTATGGCGAATGAACTTGCGAAAGTGGATGAAATGCGTGTGAATGCTAGTGAACTGAATGTACAATGTGAGGGACGGAAGCCAGCCCCGGGATGAGAGAAATAATAAACCCAAATGTTTATCGTTAAAGGGCTGGACATCCCGTATTGCTTTCTCTGATATTCGATTTCCGTTCGGGGCTGTGGAGAAGCTAAGCATGCAAAGAGAGTACATAATGAAAGTTGCCGATACAAGCGAAGATGCGAGTTCTAGGAACTAGTTGATCAGAAGAAGAAGAAGCGATCGCTGAAACAAGGGTTTTATTCGCCTAACGTTTCGGATTCTCACTTGAACCCATCATCAGAGAGAGTGGCAGAAAAGGGTGAGCCGTGCACAGGAAGTTGCAGTATTTATAGGATGCAGTCGCTATGCTACCGCATACCTATAGTAATAAACCGCGCTTACCTTCATCAAGGATTGTTGCCCGCTGGTGCGCTAATTGCTTGATGGCCGGCACGCAAGTTGTTAATTGCTGAAATCTTATCACCCGTGTTGGATGCTGGAGCGATGATTGCTCGGCCATCTGGCTCACCGGCTTGCGCACTCCCCGAGTGATCAACTACTTTGGCCAGCCTATGCCTCAGCAAGGAATATGGAGGCCGTTATAAGGCGTCAGGTGATGAGACCAAAAGACCCACGGCCACGGCAAGAACCATCTGCAGTCGTTTACCGGATCTGGTGCAGCTGCGGACAAAGCAACTACGTCGGAGAAACTGGAAGACTACTCCCGACGCGAATTGCCGAACACGCGGCAGCGGTACGGAGAAATGACGCCAACTCTCAGGTCGCGGCCCACTAGACGAGACCCGGCCACACATTCAAGTTCGATGAGGCCGAAATTCTCGCGAGAGGGGATAATCGCGTGAGCCGAGAGCTGTTTGAGTCATGGTTCACGAAACCTTAGTCTATCAGCGAGTGCAACAACATCCCCACTCCATATTCCGTGCTGAGGCATAGGCTGGCCAAAGTAGTTGACCACTCGGGGAGTGCGCAAGCCGGTGAGCCAGATGGCCGAGCAATCATCACTCCAGCATCCAACACGGGTGATGAGATTTCAGCAATTAACAACTTGCATGCCGGCCATCAAGCAATTAGCGCACCAGCGGGCAACAATCCTTGATGAAGGTAAGCGCGGTTTATTACTATAGGTATGCGGTAGCATAGCGACTGCATCCTATAAATACTGCAACTTCCTGTGCACGACTCACCCTTTTCTGCCACTCTCTCTGATGATGGGTTTAAGTGAGACTCCGAAACGTCAGGTGGTTAAAGCCCTCGTTTCAGCGATCGGTTCTTCTCCTGATCAATGAAAGTTGCTTCGACGGAACCCTGGACCACGTGAAGCTCACCATGTTTCATGTTTCTGCATGGATGAATCGCCAGACGTATGCAGTTTAGCTCTGCGGAGAATGCAAACCAGAAAGCAGCTATTGAACAAGATGTACCACCGGTCGCTCCACCTAGGTTAATCTCGAGCTTTTATAACTCAATTCTGCTATTAGAATTCCGAAAGAACTGAGAGGAAATAAAAACAACGGTAAACAACTATCAGCGGTCCTGCTCATAGTCGAAAATTATACTGGGTGACAAAGATATGAATGACTATTTATTTTCCACGGCCGGATTTTATGATATTATAAGAAAGTCAGAACGTCAGCACTCAAAGTAGGAGGAACGCACTGCGCGATGCGAATTAATTACTTTTTATGAAATGAGCAGTGTTTTGTAAGCATAACTGGCATCTCTTTATGATAACAACGAAAATTAACCGTCAGCATGGCTCATAGTCAGCAACTACAAGAAGTATATTTTAAACATGACCTATAGATATGTGTACAACGGCTTCGATTGCAGGAGTAGGTTTCCAAAAGCACTTGTACATTTTAAAAGGAGGCAACTCTCTTAATCATTATCGAAAGGCAAAGGCAGTACCTAAACGCAAGAAGCATTCCTTAGCTAACTTGCAGATTCCGAGAAATTTCTGAAAAAAGTGTGTAGCACACATTATGGGGAAGGTACCTGAGGCCGATTTAGAGAATTCTTAGGCCGAAGAGGAACGCTTTGAGAGCTAAAATTCAATAAAAAGCATTAGATCTGAGCTAATGAAATCCTAACTCATCTGCCTAGGCACTGTTTCCGTAAAACAAAAGTTTTTCGTGATGCACATGCTCACGTGCTCTTTGGTTGCCTTTTGCTAAGAAATTAAATTAAGCATGTAGATGCACGCGGCCAAAACAGGTACTCGGCTTTAAAAAGACCTTAAGTGGAAAAATGCTGGCCGAGATGTATCCTAGAAACTAACGTGTGCCAGTTAACAAGCGGTGGTCAGACCTATCGTCCACCTGCCTTATTAGTACGTATGCTGTCTAGCTATAAGAAAAACTTATTCAGCATCCGTTGGTTTTAAAATCAGTACGGCACTCGCATGCGGAAAAATCCATATGTCTGGGTACGTAGGTCAAATCCAAAAAATGCTATTTTGAAAAACGTATGTGCCAGGATTAAGTGGAATGAGGTCGAATGAAAGAAAATCAGGAAGTCAGGCATTTCGGAATCAGCCTGACAGTCAGGGCTAATTTCTAATCAGCTGGGCGGTTAGATTCATCGCTTTGGGGGTAGTGCTTCTCTATTAGTCAGATATTTAATTGCAAGTCGCCTAGATTGAATATCTAGAGAAAAAATGAAGTCCCGGCATTCCGTTCTGCAATCCATATAGACCAATGAACACCAGTCACATGTGACCTTTAATAGTTCCGTGGCTCAGTGCTGAACAGTTTCACTTGCTACACGATGACCAGGGAGCTTTAATCTTTCTGGCCTGAGTTCTGTGTATGGCTGGCTGATGATGGCACATGAGAGACGGGGGACGATTTCAGTATCCGCTGTTTTTGTCAGTAACAGACCACGGACGACAGTAAACTTGCCTGTCGTCGGTGGGAATGCTCCGACTTCCCTTGGTGCAATATTATCTGACTAGCCCTGTGTGTCTCTCTTTTATCTCGTACTGACTCCTGATGTGACGACTAGAAGAGAAACATACTTTTTAGTCATGTATAACACTTTGTTTAAACAGTTAGAGACAGAAGACTAAATATTTACCCGGGATTTTAAACTGTGTAAAAATCCTCGCAGCAGAAAAACTCGGGGTCAGTCAAAAAGTCCCATTTGGAACGAATTCAGCAAACCGTCACATGAAAATCGCAGATGGGTTGCAAAAAGCATGTCTTGAGCGTTCTTCACATTCTAGTCTTGGCCGGTAAATTCACGGGATCAAAATATCCCCGTAATTTAAAAGCGGGGTATTCCCGATCATAAAACGTGTAAGAACCGGTTGTGCTGAATGATATGAACATGGCATCTCCTAATAGTTTTCTGCCAGCACCAGCTTCACGTAGCTCAAACTAACCCCCAGGACCTGATCAGGTCAGCATTTGCATCCGAGCAATTTTCGCTTGGTGGGACAGTTTTGGATAGCAATGATCATAGCTATCTAAAACTGTCGAAAGATTATCGATTATCTCTAATGATAGATCATAAAAGATAATTATCGTTATCTAAAAGTGTCCCATCGTATGAAAAATGTATAGGGGAAATATCGCCACACCTTTGTTGCTGTTGCATTGTTGAAAATGGGTAAACTCAAAATATGGATGTGATCATGACAATTGCCATGCCCTCGTACCCCGTCATAGCCCGCTCGTGAGGCCGGGCTATGAGAGGGCTAGTGCTGGCAGGGAATAGGTAAAAATTGCACGCACCCTTGCGGGGGTTTGGGACTGCATGGTTGGGTGTCACTAAACACAGATTTGCCCACAACCTCCAGCGTGCTGAATGGCTTTGAAGAGCGGACTTCTTCGGCTATAAGGGCATTCCGAAGATCCCGACATAATCTAAGCTTATCTGAGAATTGTTATTAAATAAATTCATACTTCGGCGTGCATCCTCATTCTGCAAATACAGTCGATTTATTTCAGCAACGGATGATTTAGAATGGAGGATTTGGAACGAAGATAAATTTTTATAAATTAGTTCAATCGGCTGGAGGGACAAAAGATGAAATATAAAATAAATATACTTTTATACTTAGTCGGTTACATGCTTCCAGAGATTTTGGGCTAGTGAGTATGTATTTCGCGTTTTCAAATTCACTATCTTCGAAATTGTCCAGGCTTATGTACGGAACAGGTGCCTTTTGAGGTCGGTTTTCGACCCCAGCTTCGCTATGCAACATCACCGAAAATGCCAAATTTCATAATACCGCTTGTCAACAAAAGGGGTCAAACTTGAGAAGGGCGCCTTCTTTTAGTGGATTACTTATGTCAGTGCCCTTGATGAGAAGGCGTGCAACCATTGCAGCATAACTCTAGCAAAAGGCGGTGTTCAGCGTATAGATGGTTTTTTGAGCAAATAGCTAATTAGGTGGAGAACCAGGGCATTAATGGACCAGGAGGCTCGGTGTATTAAGGTTTATGGCTTTA